AGTGGAAAACATCCTGAAATAAAACCACAGGTAGCAGGTCTGATTTCACAGGATACACCAGGTCATGTGAGACAGAGGTGGAAATACAAATTGGCTTAAAACGCAATGTCCACGGACAAACCCTTCTCTGGAGATCACCGGTTTGCGTTTAAGAACATCAGAATATAAACTTTTGAATTTGATTTCCCCAAACTATTATAGATGAGCACCTCTGCTCTTTTTGTTGTTTGGTGTTTAAAAGAATATGTTATGTACAACCAGGAGCCTTTCTTCCTCTCCTCTCTTCGGTGACCCCTATTGGAAGACAGATGGACAAGCCAAAAAAACAAAACAATTCTTGTCATCTTTGACACTGGCTTTGGCTTTAACTGACAATATGCAGTTGTCATAACAGAAAGACAATGGACAAAGGATTCTTCCATAGACAGTAATTTTAGAAATACAAACAAGAGTTGGTCCCTTCATTTATTTTGGTCCTTACTAGTTTAACAGTTTGGGACAAAAGACACCTTCAATTACATAATAGTGAGTATATATGCAACTGCTGCTGAACTGCTGGTATACATGATGGGTACCTCACACCTCAACACTACATATATAAATAAATCTAATTGCATATGTACCATTTTATATTGAAGTCCTTGTAATACAAGAGCCAAAACAATTAATCGATTAACAGAAAATTCATCTCCAGCTAATTTAAAAATCAATTCTTAATTGATTAAACTTTTATGCAAAAATGCCAAAAACCTCCTGGTTCCAGGACCTCAAATGTGAATATTTACTGATTTCTTAATTGATCTTAAATAAAATATATTTTAGTTTTTTAACTTTTTCAATATCAATATTATTTTATATTTTGAAGAACAAACAATTTATTGAGAAATTAATCGTTTGGTTGCAGCCCTGCTTAATAATATAGTAATAATATTAAACACATTTAAAAGTGTGTTAATAATGACATTAAGTGTCTTAAGAATATGAATAGCCATGAATTACTGAGAAAATTAATCAATTAACATAATAACAAATCAAATTAAGTAATAAAATAAATTTGAAGGTTTGAAATTTATTTGAGGTAATAAAACAAATTTGAAGTTTTTTTGAGTAATAAAAAAGTTATTTTAGGTAATAATAAAACATGAAGTAAAATGTAATTTGTTCACAGAAACTATATGCCAACATTAGGGATGTTACTGTGCGCTCTGTGAGATTTCATCCCTCCAGCTGAAGGTAATGAAAGTGGCTGCATAAACCCTGATCTAGACATTCCAGTGACCACAGGGTTACACCAGGACATTAGCGCAGCCTCGCAGAGGAATTAGCTCATTAATGTAATGGTAACAATATGGAATCAGCCTCCCTGGGGAGAGATGTGGCAGGAGCATCTCCGCAGCTGCCCTTTTTTTGTAAATCACTCTGCTTATCTGGTGGGAGGAGGTGATCAATACAGCAGCATCACTGTAAACAGATAATGTAGCGCACTCTGGGGCTAGCGTCCGTATAGCAGCCCATTAGGCCACGCAGCCATCCAGATGACGGATAGTGATAAGTAGAGAGCCAGGCTGCGTCCTTGTGTTGCATATCGTCACCAGCTCCCGACTACACTGACCTGACTGAGCAGCATCACAAGGTTAAAGAGTGACCTCTACTACATTTTAGACGGTTTACAAAACAGAGAGAAAAAGTTTTGTTTGTGTAAAATTGAGACTGTTCAATTAATAAAAAAATAAGCCACCTTTTATTTAGATACACAGTCGTTACTGTAAAATCTACATTAATTTATCATGGTATCTTTTACTAGCTGCAGAACAAACCGTTTCAATCTACACTACAGAACATATTGTATAAAATATACGTTCTCACGATGGGGTTAGACGTTCTCACTTCTCAGCTGGCAAAGCTCTCCAGGGTCCAGCAGTATCAGGAGCACAGGACTAAATGACAGGCAAGCCGGTGAACAGAAGTATCAAGCTCGATTGTAAACAAGCTACTAAAATAAACTATTAGGCCTTGGACATACTGTAGTGTGTCTGTGTGAGTGCTGATAATCTCAGGCTTGTGTAAAACTCCTGTGCAGAGAAACCTGTTCAGCCATGTGGGAAAGATTTACATATGAAAGAAAAGCTCATTCAAGACCATTATTTTATAATTATTCATAACTCACTCCTGAGTTTGATTCTGCTTAAGTGAAGGGGATATAAACACAAAGAGCTAATCTTCACATCCTGTTCCTCCACCACAGTATGTCAAGAAGATGTCTTGAAAGCCAAGGAGGTATTGAGTGTACTTAAACTAGCACACCATCATGCATGGATGTGCAAACAAACTCAGCAAACAAACGCTTTGTACAAGAAGACAGTCTCTCCATTTAAGATAATAACATTTCTTCCAATTCAGAAGTCTGCTTGAAATTCCCTCAGATTACAATGATTGAGGAAGAGAGAGTACAAAAAAAATCAATATACATGTGATGTCCTTTAAAAGCCTTATAAATATAAGAAGCATTTGTCCATTAGCAGAGATTCAGAAACCAGTAAATGCTAATGAATGGGAGCGCAAGGCCATTCGAGTCCATTACAGAGTCCCACTAGTGAGTACAGCAGCCTCTCTGAGGTTATCTACTGGCAGGCCATGCAAACGCCAGACCCACAACTCAAAAATACTCCGCACTCTAAATGATAGATGGGACACATGCGCTTTTTGTGTTTCGAGAGAAAAGAATGAACACATATTGATTACGGAAATGGAAATGCTTTCCATTTCTAGAAGGGCAGCGCTGTTACTCATTAATACATTTTGAGAATATTTATTGAGATGAAGCAATTATAAACATTGATGAAGTAGGTTAGTTGAGATTAGCTCACTCGCTTTATGCAATTGCAAAAACAATCACAGAGAGAAGAAGTGTGTTGTCAGTAGGGTCAGAGAAAGGATACAGTCAAAGAAAAGTCATTGGGAAGAAGGACAGTAACAGCTGCTTGAGGCCATGTGAATATGTAGCGCACAGTAGACACACATTAAACAGTACGGATCATTCAAAAGTGTTCCTGTCTTTTAAGTTACACAATCAGAAAATGAAAAAAATGAAATCTGTTCATATTATTTTTATTCTTAAAGATCTGGCTAACATTTATCCCCACACAAAAAGCATTCCGTTCGTTTATACACAAACAGAAATGTAAAACTGTATTTACATTTTTGAAAGCGATTACGGTGTACTGCCAGTCTTAAATAACCTCATCCATTTCTGTTTCTTTAATATTATATTCATACAGTAATAAAAACATGTAAAATAAGTCATAGTGGACTTTTTTTTGGATAAGAATAAGCTTCAAGTAAGCCAATCCATATGTTACTTGTTACCTGCATTATTTTAGGGCAAGTTAACAAAACAATAATGTGCATTTTCTTTGGGGGTCATTATGCAGGTACTGTTAATCATAGTTTGTTCATAAATGCAGGCTTATATCGGTCATTGCAGAATAATCACTCACACATATTCCAAATACTGACAATAAATTTGCACTAGTCAAAAAGATCACTCTCACTCATGGCTAATGTCACCACTGATCTCAGCAACAGTTTGTCAGCATTTCAAAAATTAAACTGTGCAGATTATAAGCTAAAGAGACAGCTCACCCTACTGGCTTGAAACAGAAACTTGATTAAGACATGGTAATAAACTGAACGGCATAGCAACTGGCGTTTTGTTTTTGAGTTGTGTGTTAAATCACAGAAAAATATCGTAGCACACCTTCCACTTTTATGTATTCGAGTATATAATTATGTTAATTACAATGTAAATATTATAATTTGGTGACAGTACTCACTTGAGAGGAATACGAGGAACTGCAGTGGGTGTGGAAGCAGCAGTGACGACCTGCAGAATTTGCTCCAGAGCCGACAGGCCGCCGCCCACTTGGAAGGCCACTTGGTCTGCATTGTTCTGTTGATGCAAGGACACAGAGAGAGAGAACGAGAGAGACAGTGAAACAGAGGTACAGTCAGGGGACAATGAGCCACAGGCTGGATAGGGGATTACATGGCTCTCACCAGAGAGGGAACCTCTCTTTCTCCTACGGGGCGAGGGATTGAAATGTGAAACAAAGTGATCCCAAAAGTATTCCTGTTTAATCTCAAAAGTGCACAACCTGACTCCGCCCCACAACAGTCAAGTTTCAGGGGAAGCCAAATGCTTTGCAGGCTCCAGTTAGCACCAGGGTGGTCTCAACGGATGACCACAGACTGAAGTGAAACTGAGAAAATGCCACTCGGACAAACAAAGAATGGGGCCATTAGAGAACCCTGAAAGTAAGGCAATCATTCAAACATGATAGGATACGGAAAAACATTAGATTCTTTGATTGTAATTAGACCTAAATGCATCAGATCTATCAGATCAGGTAAAAAAGGTGCAGCACTTACATTTCTTTACCTATTGTGTCAGAATGTAGAGGGATTAAAGGGCTATTTAATCCTGTTCAGACTTTTTCTTCAACCTTTAACAACCATCCAGCCTTACACTTCTAGTGTACTTATTACTTACTTAAGATTTTTATTTTTCATTTTATGCTGAGCAGACTTTACATACATAATTACAGTGTGTTTGACAAAATGCTCCCATCTCAAAGTAGTGCTTTCCCCTCTTACATTGTCTTCTTATTTTCTTATTGTTATTTTAGACTAAATATTTTAGGGCAGACAGTATGTCAGACAAAAATATTTGGTAGAAAATTATCTGACCAACTATTATTGGCAAATGTTCAGAGATGCAATTTGAACACAATAGTGTTTCTTTTTCCCATGTAAAAAGTATGTGTGGAAAAAAATGTTTTGTGAATATTGAAGTTAAAAATGTTTTCAAATGAACTCTATTTATGTAATTTTAAACTGGCTGAAAATACTACACTCGTCATTAAAGAGCAACTTGTTAAAATGTTAAAGAGACTTGTGAAGAAGGACGTTAATGTCATTTGACTTCCCAGTCACTCTCGTCACTCTCAGAGGGTATTTTCATTTCCCTTGTAACTTGAGTAAAGCTACCAGTAACAAATCAATTAAACTCCTTAATTTCAACATTAACTGATTTTACATCTATATAAGAACTTTGTTTTGCCTTTCCCTTTATTACTCTCTTAAGAGTGGGTTTAAGTCCTTGTCCTTGTTTAGTTTTACAAACACTCGGTATCAGATTTATTACGTACACATCCCTGTCACAAATGTCTTCGTCCTCCAGTTAGTAAGGACTTTAATGAACAATTGCATAGCAAAAAAAAACATCCAGTCAGCAGTAGTCATGGACAAGGACATTGGTTAAAATGTCCTAATGATTACAAACATAGTATAACATAGTATAAAATTATTTGAATTAATTTTCTGTAAAAGGACTTGAAAGGCTAATAAAATAATTTGGACTTCCTGTTGTTTTAAAGTTATATTATTTTTTCTCACTCCACAATACAGTACACAAGATTTATGAACACGTGTAAATAGTTCGGCCAAGCCCTCCTGTGATGATAGAGTAATTGGCAGTAGGTCAGATACTGTTGCTACAATGTCTTATAAATCAACAAGTACAAAGCCAGGAACGAGCGCTGACTATCAGGCATGTTTGTGCCTGGGTCAACAGGGAGGAAAGGAGCTGGAGGGGAGCTGCTGATGGAGGGCCTTCTTCACACAACTGCAAAAGGCCGTGTTACACTGCAGGTCACTCCCCCACCTAATGAGGTTACAGGCTCCTCAGTGCTGTGACAGCACTAAAATCCAGCCACTTCACAGCGCTTTTGTTCCGCAGATGGGAAGTTGCCAACAAGCCTGAACACATTGAGAGAGAAGCGCTTTACCAAATTACAGATAAGCTCTTCATCTGTCATTCATGCCCGCTGCTGAGGTAACTGCTCCTCGATTCCGGTGTTAGACACACACAGAAGACGCACTGAACAAGCATTTCGGGTTTGGGAGCTAAAAACATTAACAAACACGCCAAAGACCCTTTGCCTTTAACATAATGAGAAATGTCTCAAAGACAGTCTCAAGAGTCTAAGCAGTGTCTGTAAAAATTCCTCATTGTGACTTTCTTTCTGTACGTTGCCAGCAGTTTCCATGCCTAATCAATTGGGTCTCAGTCCCTGAGCTTGGCTTAACCCCTCTCTTAGCCCTCCCATCAACACACCTACCTAAAAGCTTAGAGGCTAAATAAGAAAAGGCAGCTCTTTCATAGCGGCTTATCAAATGGTATTAAAGGGGGTAACTGGGACCTGCCCAGTCCTGGCTGTCTCGTGTTAAAACCAGACAACAGTTTCTTGGCTAGTCAGTTCCTTTTCTGCTATGCTGACAGATTTATCTGTTGTGATGATGGAACAATACGAGTGAAGAGGATTCAATTCAAACTACTTGACATACTATCTTT